CCTTTCACCTTGTTGAGAAGATCAAGAGAACCTGAGACTAGGAGGAGGTCATCGACATATACCAAGAGCCAAATGTACTCCCCCTCACTCGTGTGCATGAAGTACAGAGCGTTGTCTCTCATGGACCTTGTGAAACCATGCTTGAAAAGTACCTGCTCAAGAGCATGATACCAAACCCGTGGGGACTATTTGAGACCATAAAGAGACTTTACCAAGCGACACACTCGACCCGTACCGTCATCATAACCTTCGGGTTGTGCCATGTATACCTCTTCTTCCAAGACACCGTAGAGAAATGCGTTCTTGACATCCATTTGATGGATATGGAGACCAAGATATGCGGCTATGGCGAGGAGGACTCGTACCGTGGTGTACTTTGCTACCACGGCAAAAGTTTCGGTGAAGTCAAGACCTGGAATTTGGGAATAACCTTTTGCCACTAACCTTGCCTTGTACCTATCGAGGCTACCATCACCTTTTACCTTGATCTTGTACACCCATTTGACACCAATTACCTTCTTCCCTGGAGGTGGATCAACAAGACGCCATGTACCTCGCTTCATGAGACTCTCAATCTCCTCTTCCTCGGCTTTCAACCAATGCTCTCTTTCGGGACTTGCCATTGCCTCACGACGACTCAAGGGCTCTCGCGGAAGGTGTGATGCTGCCATGCATATTGCCTCTACCTTCTTGTGAATGCAATTCTCACTCTCCTCACATGTGCACCTTGATGACATGTCAACCATGAAATTGAAGGGCTTTTTTACCTTGCGGACTCGTTTACCTTTACCAAACTCCTCAGTTGGCTGAGACACATTAGTGGTAGGGTTCGGTCTCACTGTGTTTGATTGCGTTGATGCGGTCATTTGCGGCTGAGACAACGGCTGCGACATCGGCTGCGACGGCGGCACGGCTGCTTGTTCTTCTCCTGGCGTGGAAATATCTTGATTATCGGTGTTGACTTGACGATTAGGTATGGTGACTCGTGGCGGTGAAGCTGAAACGTTTGTCGGCATAGTTGGTTGTGAAGATGCTCTTGGTGGGGATCTTGAGACTAGAAGCTTGGGAATTGATGATGACGCTGCCTTGTCGAGAGGTGGTGATGGTTGGGGCTGGTTGGTGTTGTTGCTCGGTGTTGAAGATGGTGGTAACTGATGACGACCGAATCCGGGACGTGGGGGTGAAGTTGAGAAAGGTCTTGGGTGAAGAAGTGGACTGTTGGAGCTGGTGTTGGTGGTGACTCGCTGAAGTGATCCTCGTGCTATGAGCTGGCTTGACGTTGGAACAAGTGATGAACGTGTGGTATGAGAACGAGGTGTTGTGGTGACGGTTGACTTGTTGCTAGGAAGAGTCGTAGATGGTGTTGATGTAGGTACTTGGGGTCTTGTAGCTGTTGATTGCTGCTGCATGGGATGATGATGAGCTTCTGTAGTTGCCTCTGGAGTGATGGCTGGTGATGGGTTTGATGGCGTAGTGGTGGGCTGATCCGGTTGGCGTTGAAATTGTGAGGTTGGTGTTGATATAGCTGGCTGGTTTGTGACTGTTGGCTGCTGCTCCTTTGGTGGTGATGGAACGGTGACTTGCTGCGGTGGATTGTCTTCATTTGATGGCTGAACTTCATCTCCACTTGGTTGAGTAGCTGCTGGTGGCACTGGCGTGGCACGGTTGGACTCGTTGACGACGGCTTGAGGGAGATCGATGATCGGTCCGCTATGGTCAGAATCGGTGTCATCTTCTTCCTCCTCTTGTGTTGTTTCCTCAGGTGCGCTTGCTGGTTCCTGTTGGATAGAGGGTAGAGAGGAGGAAGAGGAAAACTTATGCCAACCTGCAAGGGACATGTCTTCATAGAAGACAACATCCCTTGAAACCACTTCTCGCTTGGTGACAGGATCCCAAAGGACCCATCCCTTGCTCTCATTGCTCATGCCGATGAAGAGGCCCCAATGAGCTTTGCTGTCCAGCTTGAGTCTCTTTGCATCTGGAACACGGTATTGGGCCATGGAACCAAAAACACGAAGCATAGACAGATCTGGTTTAACTCCAAACCAAGCCTCATATGGCGTTACACCTTCCGGTAAGGGCCTTGTGGGTCTCCTGTTGCGAACATAAATTGCCATAGTGATTGCCTCACCCCACCAGAGCTTGTCAAGGCCTTTGAACTGAAGGAAAGTGGTAGCTATAGCCTGGATAGTGCGATGAAACCTCTCTGCCACTCCATTTTGCTGAGGACTATAGGGACAAGTGAACTGTTGTTTGATGCCCAATGCCAACAACTCCCCCTGAAACGCTTTCCCCATGTACTCACCTCCTCGATCCGACCTCAAGGTGAGTAACTTCTTCCCTGACTCTCTCTCAACAAGTGCTAGCCATTGCTTGAAACACTTGTGAACTTCATCCTTGGTGTTGATGAAAAAGGACCACGAGAAACGACTCTTGTCATCAATGAAAGACACCAAATATCTCTTACCGTTTCGAGTAGGGTCTCGCATGGGGCCGAAGACATCAGTGTGGACCAACTCTAGGAGGTCCCTTGACTGAGACTTAGAAGGGAAGAATGGCTTTCTAGCTAGTTTACCTTCCACACAAGATGGACATGGAACGGAAGAAAGGGACTTGACTGCACTTTCATTCAAACTCAATCCTTCCACGCTCTTGTGATTTACCAACTCTTTCAATGCTTGCACTCCCACGTGCCCCAAGCGTGCATGCCATACCTCAGCTTGGGAGATACTCCCTTTGTTGTTGACTTGATCGGTTGAAACAGCGGGAAGCGAGACAACGTCGTTCTTCGTGTTGCTAGCACCGCGCTTAATCTTCAACTTCATCTTGTAGAGCCGCCCGGTACGCTCGCCTTCAGCCACCAGATTTCCTGCACTGTCCCACACTTTGGCTTTCCCCCCTTGCAAGAGAACGGAGGCACCTTTCTCTTCGAGTTGTCCGGCTGAGAGCAAGTTTGCTCCCAAATCAGGAACAAACAAAGCTTTATTGACACAAAATGACTTACCATCCTTTTCGAACTCAAGCTTGCCGACTCCTTTGATTGGTCCTTTGCCAAGATCAGCAAGAGTCACAGCTTTTGAGTCATATGAGGGCTGAAAATCCTTGAGAATGGACTGATAGGGAGTCATGGTTTCAGAGCAGCCACTATCAAGAATAAACTCCTCACTACTAGTAGAGAAAACGTGCATGCAAGTAGCAGCGTTAAAAAGGACAGGACCATCGGACTCTTTGGACTCATCTTGACTTGTAGAATGACTTGCTATATTTGCTATGGCTGCCTTACCTTTTTCAGATAGTAGCTGAGGTGGGGGGACCCAATTAGGAGGCTTCTTAGGACAAGCATACCACGGGTGACCCCACTCATGACAACAAAAACACTCAAAATTAAACTTTTTAGCATTCGGGGCTTGGCTGAAATTATTGACTCTTGGCATATTGACTCTTGCATTCCTAGGCTGGTATTGATTGGGAATCGAAGGCCTTGGCTGGACATAGTGACTGGACTTATAGGGAGGACTTGACTGAGGAAAACGAGAGGGTTTGTATGGGTTGGAAGGTGACTGAAATTTCGTACCGTAGTAGGGTTGAGGGCGGTTTGGGCTGAAATTTCCTTGCCTCTGGAATTGGTTGCCATATTTTGTGGCTGCTGCAGCACTCCACGCACCTTCGTCACTCCGCTTGTTCCGTGCAAGGTCTCGACTCTGCTGCTCGTTGACAAGGGCCTCAAAGATGAACGCACGACTCTTCATTGACTGCGGGAGCGCTTGTAGTGTTGCACGGAAAGTGTCCCACTCCGGTGTAAGGCCGGTGAGGATGACGGTCTTGAAAAGAGACTCTGGAATCTCCAAGCCGATCGCTGCTGCTTCCTCCAGCATTGCTTCAGCTCGTTGTAGGTAGGCTTGTGCTGATTCATCTTCTTCCATCTTCAGATTCATGAAGCGGCTCCACATCTCGGCTTGGCTGCTCTCGGATTTTGACTGGTGCATAGTCTTCAGTCGGCTCCATGCTTCCTCTGCACTGTTTGCCTTGGTAGAACAGGGCAGGAGCGACTTCAACTGCTGCTCGTGAATGCTATTGAGTAGGTAGAGGAAGGCCTCCTTGTTGCGTCGTTCGTAAAGTCGTTTTTCAGCTTCTGAAGCATCTGCTGCTGGTTTGGCTGCTTCTCCAGTGTAGTAAGGCCACAGATCCAGAAGGGATGCAGTGAGCTCAAACTGAGTTGCCCATGTTGGAAAATCTTTGCCGTTGAACTTGGGGAGGTGAAGCTTAGGCATGAAGGAGGTGAGTGGTGAGTATGTTGTTGAAGGACTGCCTGGTGCAACTGCTTCCACTAATCCAGTAGCTGCTGATGTTGACTCTGAAGCTCCTCCGGCTGGCTGGAGTGCAGGACCAGATGGATTGTCTCCCGCCATGTTCGCATGGTGCTAGGATAGGAACGTGGTGGGCTAGGTTGATCGAAACGACAAGCTCTGATACCAACTTGTAAAACAGAGTAGCTGTGACTACTGGAGGGCTGGAAACTTGGCTGGAAAGTCTTAGCAGGGCTGCTGGAATTGACTGGATGAGGTAAAACTTCACTATGTTCAAGATTAACAAGCCCACTAAAGCACAACTCTAGGCATCACAAACAAGACAGATTGAAAGCTCAAACTAGGCTGATAGACAATGTAACTTCCCTGGTAACTTGGGCACAATCTAGATTGGATGGACCTTGAGTGACTTTGAGTGCCACATGAGGTGCATGAATAAGAAAACTCTGGATATTTCTGTTATAGCTGATTCTGATGTGTAGAAACCTGTAGAAACTGCCAACACTTCGGTTTGAAGGCAGCTTTGAACTATATCGAGTCTTCGGCTGAAATCTGATTGGTGGTGGAACTTTCGAAGTACTTCCCGAAGCTCTGATTCATCGCCGACATTCCCCCTTGCTGCTGCTTGTGTGCAAAGGGCTGGGGCGGCAGAAACTCGATTCTCCAACACACACTTCCTCCTCGCGCTTTCCCATGTCACCTACGCGCTCCCCCATCTCACCTCCTCGCATCCTCCTCGCGCTCCTCACCTCCGCGCTCCCCCGTCTCACCTCCGCGCTTCCCCCGCGCGCTCCCTTCTCTCACCTCCGTGCTCCCCCCTGTCACCTCCGCGCTCCTCCTTCTCACCTCCGCGCTTCCCCCTCATCTCGGCACTTTCCCCTCACGCTTTCCCCCTCTCACATCCGCGCTTCCCCCTCTCACGTTCGCGCTTCCCCCCCTCACCTTCGCGCTTCCCCCTCTCACCTTTGCGCTTCCCCCTCGTCAACTTTGCGCTTCCCCCACTTCGCGCTCCCCCCTCTCACCGCTCTTCCCCCCCTCACCTCCGCGTTCCCCGCTGTGCGCTTCCCCCTATGTGTGCTTTTCCCCTGTCCGCGCGATCCCCAACTTTGCACGTTACCCTTTCCCAAACCACTCTCTTTCTCCCCGTAGCCCAACCGCATTCTCCTTCCCGCCTCCAGCCTCCATAATCACTCTCCTTCCTCCTCTCCTCCTTCCCACGCACGCGCCGTCCTCTGGCAGAGCCAGTGCCTACCCGAAAGGCCGCGCCGTCACGTGCCAGGCCTCCCTCTTCCACCACGGCTCCCTCGCCTCACCTCGTTCTGCCCTCGCCCACCTGCCGCTGACTGACACCAGTGCACCTCTCCCTCCTGCCACATCTCCCTCCTGCCGCCTCTCCCTCCTGCCGCCTCTCCCTCCTGCCGCCTCTCCCTCCTGCTGCCTCTCCCTCCTGCCGCCTCTCCCTCCTGCCGCCTCTCTCCCACGGCTCTGCCCGCAGTGGCCAGCACGCAGCCCTGCGCCCTCTGTGTTGTGTGCTGCTGCCATGCCAGCCGCACGGCCTCGCCTGCACTCACTGCACGCGCCAAGCCTGGGGCCACCGTGTGCACTATACCCCCTGCTGCTGCTGGCGTGCCTGGCCGATCCTCCCGCCACACACGCACAGCCATTCGACCGCAACCAACTCAGAGGTGCGTCGCCTGCTGCGCTGCCACCCTGCCGCCCTGCCCGTGCCGCCCTGCCCGTGCCGCCCTGCCCGTGCCGCCCTGCCCGTGCCGCCCTGCCCCTGCCCCCCTGCCCCTGCCCCCTTGCCCCTGCTGCCCTGCCCCTGCCGCCCTGCCCCTGCCGCCCTGCCCCTGCCCCCCTGCCCCTGCCGCCCTGCCCCTGCCGCCCTGCCCCTGCCGCCCTGCCCCTGCCGCCCTGCCCCTGCCCCCCTGCCCCTGCCGCCCTGCCCCTGCCTCCCTGCCCCTGCGGACCTGTCTTTCATGTCTGCAATGTTGCGATAGGCTTTTCTTAGACAAGGCGAGAAGTGCATGTCAGTTGCTCTTCTTACGTTTGCTTTCCCCATGTGATGGCGGTTCCACCTCAGGCCTGTTAGACGTAGGACCAACATGAGCAAGGGGTCACCTCTGAGCGATGCACTCTGCAGACTTGAATTGGAAAGTAACAACCAGGTGTGTCACCCACGCTTTCCCTGAAGCCATAGACAATGCTAAGAGAATTTTGCTTTCTAAAACTGCTATCCTGCAGTTCGAATCAAAATGATTAATTTATTTCGGAGTAACATACCTAGTTCCCGCCGTCCAGTTGAAGTCTGCAGAGTGCATCTTCAGAAGTGACCCCTTGCTCGCTTGAGCCCATGTCGCATACCTGCACATGTGCATAGCTTGCCAAATATATCAACACGCAGTCATTCCCATGCTTGCATAAAAACATTTCACCACGCGTATGCAAACACCCTGTGCCTCCCGTTAACGTTGTCACCGCACCTCTTTCCTCCTCTGCCCATGCCTGCCCTCCCCTCACCTTCAGACTGTGCTGACATCATGGCAGCGGGGGTGGCTCCCACTCCCTCCATCGCCACGGACATCCCAGATACCACCTTTCCCAATGCCACCTCCCCGGATGCCACCAGCAGCGGCAGCGGCGGCAACACAGCCAGGGAGTGGGGCCATCACAGGCGAGATGGGGAGTGCTGGAGCCGAGCTGAGATGGCGTGCTATGCCGGGCACGGGCGCACAGTGCATGCACAGGCACAGGCGCAGGCTCAGGTTCACGCACAGGGGCGATCAGGGGCAGAGGCAGAGTCAGAGGCGCTGGTGCGCAAGATGCACGAGTACCAGCGGTACCGGCGGGAGTGCCTCCACAGGGAGCCCCTGCAGCAGCTGCGCGCCACGCTGGTGGCGGGCAAGGCCAGTGAGTGCCGGTACCTGGTGTGGCAGCACAACCCCGACGGGCAAGGCAACCGCCTGCTCTCCCTCGTCTCCGCCTTCGCCCTCGCGCTGCTCTCCCGCCGCATCCTCCTCCTCGCCCGCCCCAACGGCCCCGCGGCGCTTCTCTGTGAGCCGTTCTCCGAGGCGGGCGAGGGGCCCGAGGGGTCGTGGGTGCTGTTTCCGGGGGAGGGCGTGGAGGAGGAGATGCAGGCGTGGAGCCTGTTCAGTGAGAGGGGCGTGGAGTGGAGCCAGGCGTGGCAGGCGTGCCAGCAGCAGCAGCAGCAGGGCCAGCAGCAGGGGCAGCAGGAGGGTCAGCAGGAGGTGGAGCAGCAGCAGGGGAAGAGGGATGGAGATGGTGTGGGTGGAGACACGAGGAGGCAGTTGCTGTCTGGAATAGAACAGCCTGTGGCTCCTCCTGATGCACCTGCTCCTGCTCCTGCCCCACCCGTTGTTCCCTTGCTTATACAGTCGTCCACACCCCCATCCCTGCCATCCCCTCTCAGCAATGCCTCCGATCAACTTCCACCACCGCTGCCACCGCCGCCGCTGCTATCAGTGGCTGCTGCTCCTGGCGTTGACAGCAGTGCGGAGGCACACGATGCAGAGTGCACCGTTCCACCCATGTACGTGAAGCAACTGTGCCTGCTGTACTACCCGCACTCATGCCGATTGCACTGTTTGCACTGGACGCGCTATTCCTCATTTCGTCTGCTGCATCCTGTGCACTCATGTCTTGTGCAACCTATTGTGCATTCCCGCTTTCTCTCTCCTCATTCTCTCCCCACACCCGCATCACTCGTCGCCCACCTCCCTCCCTCCTCCCCCTGCCCCCCTCCCTGTCAGACTGCGAGTGGATCTCTTCCACCACACGCCCCCACCAGGCCTTTTCTTCTTCTGTGACGCCCACCAGCGCTGGCTGGCACGTGCGCCCACGCTGCTGCTCTCGTCCAACCAGTACTTCCTGCCCGCGCTCTACCTCCTCCCCTCCTTCCGCCGCGCCCTGCTGCTGCTCTTCCCCACGCACCGACCCTTCCACTCGCTGGCCCGCGTGCTGCTCGTCCCCTGCAACCGCATCTGGGCACGCCTCACAGTGCGCTACCACGCGCTGCTTGCACCGCTGCCGGGAAGGGTGGGCGTGCAGGGGCGCTTCTTGCACAACTGGGACGCGCAGCGCGTGAGGGAGAGGACGCTGGTCCTGGGGCACTGCGCTGGGCAGGCGCTGGGCGGGCTGCTGGCCGCCCAGCCTGGGGCTGCTGCCGTGGGTGGGGTGAGCCACGGCACTGATGGCACCGCTGATTCTTCCAGTGGTGCTGCTGCGGTGAGCGGTGCAGAGACAGCAAAGGGAGTGGCAGCACCAGTGATGGTGACGTCGCTCAATGCTCATTTCGCTCACAACCTCTCCCGCCTGCTGTCCAACCAGCTCGGACACCCCGTGCACGTGCGAGGGACTGTGGAGCCTGCTGGCAGCAGCAACAGCAGCCAAGACTCAACACAGGAAGGCCCCAGGGCAACCGACAGCAGCAGCAGCAGCACCAGCCCTGCGGAAGGTGGCACTTTGAGCAGCGAGAGCGGCAGGGACAGCAGCAGTGGTGGTACAAGGGCGGAGGTGGAGGTGGTGCAGCTGACGGAGGAGGAGCAGCAGGACAACAGCGACGGGCGCAACGTGGACGACGCCATCATCGACCTCTGCTCCCTCGCCCTCTTCTCCCACTCCCTCCTCCTCTCCCCCACCTCCACCTTCGGCTACCTCATTGCTGCCCTCGCCCCGCACACCCCGGCCCGCTTTGCCTCCTCCTCCTGCCCGCCTGCCCCACCAGAGCCGTGCTACCACCACCCCCCCACCCACGACCAGTGCCCTGACGGCCAGCCGCTGCTGCTGGAGCGGGCTGTGGCTGCGGTGCCGCACCTGCCTCTCATGCGCTGTGCCGACCTCTCACTGGGGCTCGCTCTCAACACTGCCGCTGCTCCTGCTGATCATCCTGGCCAGTAGGCATGACAGGCTTTGGCGTTAGGCATTCTTGCCTCGGTGCGCACGTGCGGTTTGGGAGCAAACTTACGGTATTGACAGATGACAACTGATTGTCGTGTTGTTACGGTGCCCCACCCCACTCCCAGGACCACTACTGAAAGGGAATTTAATAAAATATACCGTAAGCAAACAGCACAGTTCCAGATTTTACACACACAACTCAACAAACAATCCTCAAGCAGGCATGCTGAACAGGTGCAATGGCTGGGAAGGCAAGTGATGAGATGTTGTAGTCTCCATTGAGTGGAAAAGAGAGGAGTCTGGATAGAGCGGAGTGTAGAAGAGGTCTCCATGAGTGGAGACTGCGTCCCCCCCTGTGCTGCTGCAGAAATGGATAGTCCACCGCTCTCCTACATGCATAAACCGGTACATTGTTCTGCAGGAGGACTTTGCCTGCGCACAAAATGTACGGGCCAGTCTTTCCTGGAAAATTATTTTCGCACCCAATCCAAATTTGAAGCGTGGATGTTGCGACGAAGCTCCACACAGCCAAATGCATCCCCGCGATTTGTTCCCGCGTAACTTGTGCGCTGGTTGATGCTAGCTCTCGAGGGAAAATCAGCAGCGCACTAGTTGTGCGACCTTTTGCCTGGCGAAGAAACAACTTCGAACCAGCAGACGGTTGAATTTCTGCGCCCCAAAAGTGGGCCTTGTTCGGCAGACGTTAAAAGGGCATTAATATCAGGCTCGGGGACCGGCTACAATGAAACGATACGGTAAGCGAGCGATCGGTTATAAAGGTTCGAGATAGGCGGATTGATGTCGAACCTGAGCGCGTTAAAATGCCTGCCGAACAGCCCTTTTAACGCCTGCGTTTTTAGCAATACGATGGTTCCTGAAAACCGTTCCCCCTAGCAAAGTGGCACACCATTGATCCGCTGCATGGTGCATGGCCGAGAGCTTACACCATGAGAGGGATTGTGAACGCTTGCGATTTGCCTTGCAAATGCAACGTCTCATTTCAACAAATGCAACGTCTCATTTCAACTGGGTAGTACAAGATTTTCATGGTCCAAGTATTGTACAACATACGTGGGTGGGTATAGCTACCATGCATCTCATGCTTGTTGGGAACAAACAATCTTAAAGCGCCTCTGTCGTGTCGAAACACCAAGGCACAAGCGAAGCAGAGCATATCGAGGCACCAGCGAGTCAACCCTCGGAGGTTGAAGTAACCGCTGGAGGTTACGCGAAAGTCAAAGGTCAGCGACCTTTGACTTGACAAATGCAGCGCGACAGCAAGGACACACAACTGACTCGACATTGAGCAGTTGCCCGAGTCGCACTGTATCGAACCGCAACAGTAAAACAGTTTAATTATATCTCTTCGTATTCTTTGTACTCTTATATAAACCTTTGTACTTGCTTGTTTTAATCAACTTACTTTGCCCTCACATACCAGCGCAAGGTGGTTCAAGGACTTCATTTAAATGCTTCCGCTACTACATCACTCTACCCAGAGTTTAACCCTACCAAAGATCCTAAGGGGCACTCAGCCCAACATGGTATGAGAGCTGGTTAGGGTTAAAATTATTTCTCCTTAACACCTAATACACCAAGAGACATGTCTACCAGAAAGGAGAGGAGCTCCTCCAACGGCTCTCCTGGTACTACTCCTACTCCACCTCCTGCCTCTGGCCTACAGACAGAGGAAGGCACAACAACGAGACCGGCAGCTGGGTCTACTGAAACACCCGCAAACCAAGGCGCGGGCTTCGATCCAAGCATGATGGAGAAGTTCTTCTCCTTCATGTCCTTCTACGAGCAGCATCAGCAAGGAGCACCTGCGCAATCAAACAACAGCAACAACAACAACAACGTGACGCCCATGAGTATCGATGGCTCATCCTACGCACGCGGGAATCAACAACAGCAACCTACCTTCGCTCCGTACGAGCCCCAGCGCGGCTCCGTCAGCTTCATGCCACAACCACAACCTGCACCAGGACAAGAGAGAACGCTGGACGCACTACAAGTTCAGTCGCAGTTCGCGCACGTTCTAAAACTGCAAACGACGAAATCCTTCGACGGGAAGGATTTCTTTACCTGGTCGTTCGAATTCGAGCTGATGATGGAAGGAGCGCAAATCCTTGGCTTCTTCGACGGGTCCCTGCCATACCCAACAAACGGCACACAGTATGAGAAGCAGCAGTACACCTATCAATCAATGATGGCGTACACGATACTACTGAGGAACATCACTCCCAACTCAACAACAAAACATACGGTCTTACCGAGGCTACGGCAACTCCGCGGAGCTCGCGTACAATCACTTGAAGAGCCTGTATCAAGCAACAGACAGCGTAAACCAAAGTCGGTTAATGGCGCAGCTGACAACAATCGAAATGAAACCAGGCGAGAAGGGAATGGTGTATATCAGTCGCTGCCGCGAGCTGCGCGACAAGCTTCTTCGATGTGGAGGATCGATTTCAGAGGACGCCTTCGTCACGGTTGTCATCGGCGGTCTTGGTCCTCACTGGCGCTCCACTCGCGCCATACTACGAGCCCACGGGAAAATTTCTGAAGCAGCACTTTGCGCCGAAATCCACGCCGAGCAGCAAGACATGGACCTGCAAGAAGAACGACACAAGAGAAAGGTATCAGTGCCCGAATTCGCGTTTCACACTCAACGGCGCCACAACAACAACAATCGACCGAAAATCGTACCTCCGTTCTGCCACCTCTGCAAGACTTCAGGGCATCCTCGTACGCACTGCCCGAATCGACAACAGTCAACGTCGCCGCAACGCCAACTTCGCCCTTCAAGCAGTCAAGTCGCCTCAACGCAAGCAAATCCGACAACTTCAGTACAAGTCTCAACAACATCGACGGGACAACCTGCGAAAGGAACAAGAAACATCGTCAGCTGCATGGCAAGGCTGAGTGACTCCTGCGTAACTGAGTCACCACCATATTACTCACCAGAAGAACAACTCGACAACAGCACGCCTCGCCGCGAGTCACTTCAACCGAACCCGACGTACGCCGCCATCGCTCAAAGCGAGCCGTCCGGGAAGGATACATGGTTCTTGGACAGTTGCTGCGGACAACATATGTGCTCTTCAGGACGTTTCGTTCAACGCGAGCACCAACTTCAACGAGAAGTCGTCATCACTGTCGCCAATAATCAGAATCTGCGCACACGACGACAAGGAGTAGTGCAACTTCAGTCACGAGAGACGAATGTCATACTGCAAATGTCCAAAGTCCTAATAGCAGAAGGACTTGGCTACAACTTACTGAGCGTCAGTCAGTTGATGGCGAAAGGCATACATCTGGAAGCCGACAGTACCACCCAGGAGTTCAAGCTGTACCACGGGAAGGGCGGCCTCTACATCGGAAAGGCGGTCCTGAAGAACAATGTCTTCGTTCTCGATTTCGTCCCAGACCTGGGCACCGCAGACAGTGACGGGATCGTCACCTTCACATCTTGGACGCACCCGCCGGATCTCGACCCCGAGTTCAGTCCGGAAGGCTTTTGGTATTCACATACCATTCCTGAAGAAGAACGAACACGTGCGTTAGTAACAATACAACATTCGGCAGCAGCAGAGACAACATCGGCAGCAACAGAGACAACATCGACAGCAGCAGAGACAACATCGGCAGCAGCAGAGACATCATCGGCAGTAGCAGGAACAACAACAGTAGCAGCAACAACGACACCACTCCTCGTTGACGAAGCACCACCAACACCCGCACAGCAGCTGAATCCGGCTCAACGGGAAGTCCATAGAAGCGCAAACTTCACCGCCAGCTTCTACTCCAACTCCGACGCGTATCGACGCTCACCCGGACACCGCGCCTCCGAAGACATCTGGCACGCACGCATGGGACACCCAAGCAACACTGTGTTAAACAACACAATAAGAGCAGGAGTCCTTGACAAGGACTCGTTACTACTACTCGACGGCAGAGAACTTCAACGGGCACGAGGAACATGTCTTACCTGCCCCGAAGCCGACTTACCACATCGGCCGTTCACTCCTCATCACAACCCGAGCACACCCGCGTACGCACCACTCGAAAAGGTGTATAGCGACATCCTGTACAATCGGGAACCAGGACAAGTAATATACAACCACACAATCACCTTCATCGACGCCGCCACCCGTTACGTCTGGCATCTAAACCTACCCAGCCGCGACATGGTCCTCGAAGCATTTGCTGCTTGGCTACCAGTAGCAGAAAGAGAGTCGGGCGTAAAGCTGAAAAGCTTCCAGTCTGACGGAGGAGGAGAATACACCTCTCAGCGATTCAAGCAGTACCTGGCGGAAAGGGGAATCAAGCAGCTCCTCTCTCTTCCCTACGCCCATCAGCAGCAAGGTGTAGCAGAAAGAATGAACAGGACTCTGCAGAACAGCATGCGCAAACTGTTGCGTGGCATGCGGCTACCCAACCACCAGTGGCCTGACGCGATGGACCACGCTGTCATGCTGCACAACTTGCTCTCATCTTCATCACTACCGAACAACGCATCACCGCATCTGCTGTGGACAGGAAAACAGGGCAGCACAAAAATGTTACGAGTGTTCGGATGCATGGTACAGTACCGACCCCCAGCAGCACGAGCGGGCCGATTTTCACAACGCGCACAGTGGGGACTACACCTCGGCATCGAAAAGAACTACAATGCGTGGAAAATCTTTGACGTCCACTCCAAGGAAACAGTAGCAGCACGCGACGTCATTTTCTACGAACGACTCACGCTCCAGACATACCTTGCCAACCTGCAAGAGGACCAAGATCCCACAGGTGGTTTTCGTGGTGACCGAGCCTTCGCCTCGGCAGAAGACGAAGCTGACTGGGACGAGCAGAATGTGGCCAACGCATCAGAAGAAGCTGGACCCCTTCCGTTCTGCTCCGTCGACGTCCCCATGGACGAAGATAACCCTCGCAAAAGTGTCAACGCCGAAACCTTCTACTACTTCGCCGACAACGGTTACGTAACACCTGCGACA